AAACTGGTTTTTAGGAGTGTGTTTTGATGATCCTTGCTCAACCAACACTATAGCCAACTAACAACAGAGCCAAATACACTATTCATGTTTCACTTGGACTGCAAAGCCATCGATCATACTTCATAAAACAGTGCATTTACGACAATTTCAATAAAATTAATCTTTAAAAAATATTTTTAATATTTTTAAAACTTACGTTAATCTTTAAATCAGGTAAGATACGGAACTTTTCAACAAAAGAAAACGGAAAGTAAAATAGTAAGTCAGTGTCAAAACAAACTGTTAAATTCAACATATCCAACCTGCAAATCTCATCCTAGATGGCTTAACAGTAAGTCAGATCCAAAACCAGATAATTGCATATTTTTAGGACGGAAAGTCGGGACGGAAGAAAATGTAATACTAAGCAGTACAATAAGGACGATTAAAAAGTATTCGTTCGAGATCGTAAAGCAGAGTACTTGTAAATCGTGCATCACCAAAAAGAGGTATTCGCTCATTTTTTAAATGTGTGTGGAAAATATATTGCATTCAAACAAGGACAATTGACGACCTTAGGTAGCAAAAAAAAAAATTACGACAACTTTTTTTTTTTTTGCTATCAAAGGTCAAATATCTGTAAACAATAATCGAAGAATGAATAGAATGATATTTCGAAAAGCTGGAGAAATTACAACGAGCAGTTGCGAAAAACGTTCAGAAAAACTACTAAGTGGGGTATGGGAGACACTCAAGCATCTACGTAACATTCCAGATCTCTCCCCGGGGGATTTTTTTGATCTCTGAACTTTCGAAAAAATTTGGTTCTTCCTACCTAAGTTACAGGCAGTCCCGATCTTGTTCACACTTGAAAAGTAGGTTTACCAAACTGATGTATTCCAATTGGTAAAGCCTTAAGAAAATTTCCTAAATGATTATGATGATTTTGTGTTACTAACGTACCAAATCTGGATTGTACTGTTCAGCCTTCATTCACTTCTATTATCATAACTGCTGTTAGTTTGCAACTGTAACTCATGACAGTTAAGACAAGTTTAGCCTATCCAAAGCTAGCGCTGCCTATGCTTATTCTGCCATATAGCGCAAAACCTCAATATGGAGGAAAGCCACGGTTTTGTAAAAATAAAATGCGTTTGTGGTCTAATTTTTTAATGTTTAAAAAATTACTCATGAAAATTTGCATTGCGTCTCATAAAAGTTTGCGAAAACTGAGAATAAGGCAGAGATTTTGATAATTTTTATCTAGGGGGGAAAATGTCGCCAAATTGGTGATTTTTAAAAAAGTTTAATCACTTTATAAGTATTTAAGTTATTTGTTCAGTTCTAAAGACCCAGATAATTCTTCACGGCAAGATGACATATATAGTTTAACATCGTCGTATTGCTTCTAGTGTAAAGTCACTTAAACTGAAGCTTTTTTTCACCTTGTCCACAGAGCTTCGAAAAACCATGTTAAGACACAGAAAGTACACTTGTTTATTTTCAATGTGGATTACAGATACTCAAATATCTTGCTAGTAATGATAAGTATCCTCTTGATTTTAATATATTATTTCTAATTTCAGACGCGTGACTCTAAAAGCTTCAGGTCAAGCTATTCTTTTCAAAAGCGCAAACGCTAAGTTCCATTGTCCCATTGATCCACCACTCAACAACAGCAGGGTCCTTTGGTTCAAGGGCCATCTGCGCATACCACCATCTACTACAAGTGGATGGCCACGCGTTTCAGTGTCCAGCAAAGGGGCCTTGAGGATTCATAAAGTCAACTTTGCTGATGCTGGAACCTATACTTGTTTGGCCGGAGCTTTTCGGAGCGACGTGGTACTACGTGTGAAACCTTTACCAACAAGACAGCCAGATGCCGAATACTATTCAGATACAAGTAAGTTTGACCGATTATTTCAAAAATGTTTTACAATATTTTAATCTTCGACGAATCTCAATCTCTTTCTACAATGTCTCTGGCAATGCAATCTTAAGGAAACTTAATATTTTTCACACCAATTTTTTTTCTGGATTCCCTTTTAACTACCCAAGTCAAAATTTTCCAACAATAAAAACATAACTTGCTGGTTGACCAACATGAAGGCAAACAACATCTTCAAACTTATTTTGATGGTTGTTATTGGTTCAACTACAACGAACAAAACATGGCGGTTGAGCTATATATATAGTACTAAAACAACATGTTCCATCTTAATTTGATGATTGCTGTTGGTCCAGCAATACAAAGCATAACTTGATGGCTCAACCATTATAACAGCAAAACAATATCTTCCATCATATTTTAATGGTTGCTGTTGGTCCAACATTAATAAACACATCTTGTTACTGGACCATCAAAATAGCCATACAGCATCTTCCATCATATTTTGATGGTTGTTGTTTGTCCAATATTAAAATAACATAACTTGTTGGCTGACCATCATAATGGTAAAACAACATCTGCCATCAAAATATGAAGGCTTATGTTGGTCCATCAAAAATCAAACATTGCTTGATGGTTTATCATCATAACATAAAGCATCATTTTCCATTTTGTAATGATGGAAATTTGTTGAGCCATCAAAAACCATCAAAACTGAATGGAAATTGTTGTATGATGGTGACCATCAACATATGTTGAACCATCAAGAATCTTAATTAAACCATCATAATTCTTTGATGGTACCATCAAGACTTTTGTCTTGGGTAATCTTATTTTCAACACTTTAATCACGAAATATTACTCCAGAGCTCTGCTTTTTAATCGAACTCATAACCTCATGAATGTTAAGTGCAATTTCCTACAGTAACAAGCTAAACCCAAAATTAGGATAAGTCATACATAAGAAGTCATAAATTTTTTTTTATCCTATCTGCTATTATAGAATGCTTTTAATACAGTTCAAATAATTCGTTATTTTAAAAAGTAAATAACGAATAACACTGATGCAAAGCTTAAATGTACTACTTGGTTGTTTTAAGCAAGAACGGTACCTCCAATTAAAAGGCATCTTTCATGGGACACCAGAACAGCCTCTAAGTATATGCTGTCAGAAAAATAGAAATTATGACTTTGTTTAAATTTGCAGTCGTTGCATTTGTTTTCTAAAAGCATTCAACTCGAATTTTTATCAGATGTATATTTCTGAAAATATTCCACTGTTTTGATCTTTTTGATACATTCTGTTAGTCTTTGGTCTTTTCTTTTTAGTAGGGTGTAGATTTCAGAGATTTATAAACAATAAAAAGTGTAAATAAATGTATATTTATTTATGTCACATATACACTTAATGTAATGTGACAATTTTATTTCTAATTTTATTTAAGCCTTCAATTTTTTCTTTAAACGTTATTCCTCTTTTTTTATTTTAGCAATCTTTTTAACTTTCTTGGTGACCTTTCTCATGGTCGTTGCGGTCATCGCACTTCCTGTGGGGAAAGTCAACCAACCCCTCTATTCACGCCTTTCTTTTTCCTCTTTTAATTTTAGGGGGGCTAACTAGCCAATCCCTTTACTTTAAATTTCAAACTCTCCGCCTCTTTAAATTTAATTGGTCGTTATTTTTCTGGTCCTATACCAGTTAAGGAATTTTTAAGTCACTTTTTGGGATAGATGTTTTTTTCTTCTCTCTGGGTGCTTCTTTCTTGCATGTTCTTTTTTTTCCGAGATGCGGACTTCGGTCCGTATCGAGGGATTTCTTTTTTACATTTTTTTTAACCTTTATCTTAAATTAAATCCATAGCTGTAATCAATTTCTGAAAAATTTAAAATCAACAGTTTATACCTTTAATTTTTCTTTAACATTAAAAGTCCTCTCAAATTTAAGTTTTCTTTTCATATTTATTTTAACGATTAAATTACTCGTTCTTTTATATTTTACTTTTATGTATGACGCCTTCATTGTTTTAATTCTCTTATCACCCATTTCTAATAATCGCCATTCATGTGTAGTAAATGTAACGATCGATATTTGTTACTAAATAAAAATAATTTGTTAATAATTGAATGTGGTGCTGAAGTGCTTATTTCCCCGTCTTCCTTTGATGTCTGTTTGTTTAATATGTCCTCATGTATGGTGAGTACCCTTTTATTATTGTTTTGGGCATTGTATTCTTGATAATATTGGAAACATCAATTTACTCCATTTATCTTAAATACTTATATCTGGATATAGCATGACCTTGTTTCTTTATCTTTTTATCTTTAATTATTTTTAGTTTCACCCTTATTCTAAATTCGGTGATACCAATTTATCCAATTTGTTCAAACCTCACACTTTGTGACCCTTTGGACCTATTGGGTTATTGTTATCCCACATTAGCATTGTACTACCACTTTCCTTAACGATCACATCCCCTTTAATTTAATTTAATTACCTATATATACTTTCGGCCTTAATTTGTTTTATCACGACATTCCTATCATTTAACCTTTTTAATCATGACTATATCCAATTATTAGTACATATACCAAATATTCCAATCTATTAATTATAATACATAAACAAATTTACTTTATCTTATACGCACCAAATAATTATTTATCAACTCTTACAATTTAATATAATTATTTTCAATAATATTAATCAATCAGTAATCATATATTTTAGTTATGTTTTCCTTAATCTAAAGAAATTAACATATTTAAAAGGTAAAATAATTTGATGGCGCTTTTGAATGAATTAAGAGCTGCGTATTCGCTGGGTGAATGAACCGTTCTATCAAACTCGAGCAATAAGCAAGGAGGAAAAAAACAAACTATTCTACTTAACTTTTGATCTAATGAACTGATTTATATGTAATTCGGGGCAATATTTTAAATTAATCAATCAATATTTTGTTTCATTTTAAATTTGTTTAAATAAGAATATCTGACAAATAAATAGCTTTCTTTTTTAATGAAAAAAAATTTTTTGGACCGAAGATTCTTTCTCAAATATTAAGAATGTAATCTTGAAAATATGATCCCAGTATTTAAGTTGAGTGACTTGTCAAAACACTGGGGTTTATCTTACTTTTACACTTTGTGTTTTTCGTCATAATTCTGAAGCTAATTGTATGAATAAAAAGATGTCCACCCACATGCGTCACACGTTAAGGTAAACCACACGAAAACCATCCGCGATTGTCAGAACGATGCACGATGGTCAGAGGAACCTAACTCAGGAACCGTCTGCCGTTGTAGATATTTTGAGTCAGCACTGACTTCTTTTACTATCCACAAAAGCTATTTGAGAATTAAAAATTAGATTTCGCAAAAACACAGACTTAAGACTGCTTTGCTAATTTCTCTTTCAAGTCTATTAAGTTACTTTGCTAACTTCTAACTTCCCTTTTAAGTCTGTTAACACTTAATCCAATTAAGATTTTCAATCAAGCAATTAAGAAGGTAACTGTCAACGCAATTAAGACAAAATCGTCTTCTCTATAGTTTGTCATTTATTTGAGCACCTAGTACAGCAGGGTACTGAGAAAAACATAAAATATGGAGAAACCATTGAAAATAATAAAGACTAATAAAAAGAGAAGAGAAATTATTAAAATAAAATATTTTTAAGAACGCTTATAAAATTTTTTATTTATCTTTAAAAAAAAACTTTATTTAAAATTTGGAAAATAAAATAAAGAAAAGATATAATCTCTTCAGCAGCGATTACATCAGCAAAAAGAAGTGCTTTCTAATATTGTATCGATATAGCAAAAACAAAATATACCAATACAATAATATGAGGGGCACTCAAAAAAATTTAAAAGAAAATAGAACTTATTATTAAGTAAAAAATATATACGAAATAAAACATATCAAGCAAAAAAAGGAAAAGAAAATACAGAAAAAAACACGAAATTAAATCGTTTCGTTTTTTTTTTCTGTATTTTCTTTAAATTTTATTTTCTGTTTTTTGCTTAATATGTTTTATTTTGCATATACTTTTTGCTTAATGTGCTCTATTTCCGTTTCAATTTTTTGAGTGCTCCTAACACTATTGAACTGATATATATTTCTTTGGCTATAGTGACACAATATTAGAAAGCACTCTATTTTGCGGTTATAATCGCGTGAGCTGATGAAGAGATGATATCTTTTCTTTATTTTGTTTTCCGGATTTTTAATAAGATTTTTTTTAAATAAATAAAAAAAAATTAAATATTTTTCAAGATATTTTATTTTAATAATTTTTCAGTAGTCCTTATTATTTTTAATGTTTTCTCTATATTTTAACTTATGTTACGAGATCTATATACTATCAGCTTATGCGCAGTTAATAAAGCTTATTAATTTTTCTCCTCCTTTTTCTCTCTTTTCTTTTTATACTTTTTGTGTTTATTGTGCTACATTGTGTGCATATATATATATATATATATAAATACAAGAAAACACTAAGAAAGTTAAGTTAATATTTAAATTATTCTTCATGTTGTACCCGGTACGGAGAGCCTAAATCAGAGGGGAACTTCGGATCGACATCCTGCTACTCTGAAAGCAAAAGCGAAAGCAAACGATTTTTTGAATTGCATTCTATTCNATATATATTTGTATTTACAGGCTCAATATCGTCTTTCTCGTCAACCTCAACTCCTGATGAGGAAAATCAAAGCAAAAAACTAACAAATCGTTCTACACTGCCACAAGTTCGTCATTTTTTAGTAAATATGAGACATTTCGCTGAAGAGCGCTCTAAATCCGATCCAGTCATTTTAGGATATGAATGGGCTGTCGGCGATTGGTCAAAATGTTCACATACATGTGGAGAAGCAGGAATTCAGGTTTGCAATCACTTTAATTTTCTTTGCACGTCCATTATATTGAACAACTAGCCATACATACTATAAATCAGTGTCTCAGTGTAATATATGTTTCATATATACCTTTAATGAATCGGAACTATGATTGGAAACATGGTCAAACAATTTAAGATTATTTGTAAGATAAATTATTTAAATTTATTATTATTTTTAGTATTAGTTTTTACTACTGAAAGATGATACAAGAAAGATGATACTCTGTTTTATGCTCCAAAATAAGGAAAGAGAAGAGGACGAAACAGTTATCATCGAAATAAGAAAGCAACATTGCTGTCTTTTTTTTCTTCACTATCCACTCTATACCTCTTTTTATCACGAAACCCTTCAAAAGGAACCACCGATATCAATGAACTTGTTCTTTAGTTCTGGAAATACCCACGTCTGAAAATGTTCTAACGACTTTTTGCACACTGTAAAATATTTTAGTGTATATTGACACCGAAAATGGTGGCAACTACTTTACACCAAAGTAGTGTAGGGAAGCACCATGAATTCATTGTTCTTGGACTTCACTTCATGAACTGAATGTTCTTTTATAATACTTGGCGTAAAGCAGCTGCCGCCATTTTTTAGATTCAGTAAGATTAAAATTTTTATTTAAGATAAAATACACTTAAGAGTCAGCAAAGTTATATTTTTATGATATAAAGTTAGAAACAGTACTTTCGAATGTATCTGAAAATGAAATCAGTTTGTAAATCAAACATACGCGGTTTTCGGCTAGGATATCGAATTTCAACTGGGCTTATATAACAATAACGAAGCAGATAGAAATCGTACATTATAAAATCACTTAAAAAAGTTCACAGAGATTTAAAAATTAAACTACAATTATCCTCCTTGCTCAATTAAAAACATACATATATATGCTTACGGTAAGCTTTTGTTTCAGTAAATGTACAATAGAGTAAAATACAACAACTCGTACTGTATTGTAAACAAGTTACTGTACTGACCACATCCTAAGTGTCCAACATTGTTTTTTGAAAAGCATTTAATTCAAGTATGATGCGAACTTTTCACACTTGTTTTGTGTTAGATGTTTAGATTCAAGTTACACCATTTAAATTGTATACGAAAACTCAATTTGGTGTTTGGGTCGATTTGATAAAAATATTTAACTGAAATTCAAAAAAAAAAAAAAAGCATTCATAGTTCCAAAAGCATGACAAGTATTCAAAAAAATTTTTTTTTCACTTTTTGTTCTCTGAAAGACATCAAAACTGTTTCTCTATATAACACAAAAAAAAAATAATAAAAAAATACATTTCGAAAATCTTTTCTCACAGTAGTCAGTACATTCTTATTGGCTAGAAAACCACATGACATGTAAGGAAAGTCCAGATTTTATCTTGATTATTATCCAGATTATCTTGATTATTATCCAGATTATCTTGATTATTATTCCGAATTAAAGGCTTAAAACTTTAAAAAAAAATGTTCTTTATTATAAAATAATCCCATCACATTACCTTATTACGCAACGTTTTATGATAAACATATTTGAAACTGTATCTACCTTGCTATCCATCTTACAATTATTTTTTATTTTTTATTTTTTTATTTTATTTCATTTGTTTCTTGTATAATAACAATAAAACATTTTGAAGCTTATGAAGATGTTACGGTGAAACACCGAAATCTGGAGAATGTCGACATTCACAGGTGAATGTCAACATTCACGTAGTCGCTTGGTGTATGTCCGAAATATTTGCTAATTTCCCTTATTTCTGACTCTCACCGGTGAATGTCAACAATCACATAGTCGCTTTGGTGAATATCCGAAATATTTGTTATATCCAATTTTATATTAATTTATTCGTTAATAATATTATATTTATTTGATATATTTATATTTATTCTATATTTTAATACTTACTGACGATTGATTAGAAGAAACATCAGTGTTTGGAGTATCGGGAAAATATATACCGAGCANTCATATCAAATCGAATGTAATAAATATTTCGGACATTCACCAAAGCATATCTGTGATTGTCGACATACACCGGTGAGGGTCCGAATGTACAAGAATGTAATGAAATATTCGATCTTTCACCGACGTATTTGGTGTTTGTCGACATTCACCGGTGAAAGTCAACAACCACAGATTTCGGTCTTTCGCCGTGACAAAGACACAATAAAGCATTAATTGATGCAAACTAGCGACTAACAGCCCGTGTGATCGCTGACACATTAAACTTATTGAATTCGACCGCCCATGATCTTTAAGCCTAAGGTTTAATCTTAAACCTCGACCCCTTAATGTTCTTACAGAAAGAAATTCCTGCCGTCGTGTTGACGTCCGTGATTTGCTTCTCATACGTCAAGAAAATTATCTATTTTTGAAGCACATCGTCACTGGGGACGAGAAATGGATTGTCTTCAACAATATTGAGGTCTTTAGAAAAAAATTTCGACAGTGAAGGCTTTATTCAAATAATAAGGAGGTAAAATATCATCTAAATCAGTTTTTTTGTCGCAAAAAAAACAAAATTTTATGCTCGTCGAATCACGCTACTGCCAGAAAGATAGCAATATGTGATTCAAAAAATACTAATTCACTATTAAAAAAAAAACCTTTTCATTTTCATAAAAAAAAGGACTTGAAATTATTTTCCGAACAACTTTATATATCCCATTAATTGTTTCTACGATGAAGATTCGGGACTCGCTTAGAAATGGTTTTAAGTAACTCTTACAACTGTCTCAAAATAAAGTAAATGCTGCATTGAAATGCTGACTTACTATCCACTTCCAGCTTCATTTCAATTGTTTCCTAAAATCATATTAAAAAAACGCTTTTTTTTTCTTACATAAATAGGTCCGCACATCTGAATGTCGGGTTAAAGTCATGAACAACACAGCACGAACTGTACTGAAAGGGTTGTGTCTAGAAGGTGGCCTACCTGAGCCTGCAACTATTCGCTATTGTCAATTAGAACCTTGTCCAGAATGGATCACAGGGAATTGGTCAGAGGTAATCAACTACTAGACCCTTTGCTTCTTTCAACGGTTATAAAAATGGTTTAACAACTTAAAAGTTTTAAAGATAAAGCTCCATATTTACACCGTTATACCTCTGAATAATGCAGTCACTTGCAATGTTATGATGTGATAGCATTCAATAGGTGGTGGTTGATAATGAGAGGTGGAAAGAGGTAGTCTTATTTGGATTATTCAATCCCTCATTTTAGATACTTTTATAGTTAGGGAATTTTGATATGTCTATTCTAAGAACTTATTTTCTGAAGAGCCATAACGTTTTTGATGCTTTTAGAAAAGTTCTTCCGTTAATCATGATTTTATTATTTTAAAATCAGATTATTAATGTTGCAGAAAGACAAATTTGCGCATTAGTCATAATTTATTTATTGTTATACCAGATTTACCACTTTTTACCCTTATCGATGATGTTTATTAGCAGTGATAGTGAATCTCAATAAACAATACTACATACTTACATTTTTATGGTGATGAATTCGAGGGTCATTTGTTGATTTATTATATTAAGCAAATGCAAAAGCAAATCTTACTTGAACTTGAGTAATTTCATAATTATTGATTCGTCTCTTTCATGTGATTTGAATCAATTCCAATCAACAGCATTAATTATATCATGAAAAATTTAAATGATGAATTGAGGGATCATCCCTTAAAATTACTACTTTATCCTTCTTTAAAATTCTTTGACTACAAACATCTTATACTCAATTACAAATTTTAATTATGTTACATATTGGAATGAGGGAATATTAATTAATTAGTAATGCTTATATTTCTAATGCAGCAATACTATAAAATTTTTAATTTTTCTGCATTGATTTGAAATTATTATGAGTTGTTCCATATTAATAAAATTATACTGGAAACTATTTTAAAACTATCTGTTCTAACCAAAAAATTTCTGAAATTAAAAATAGCACTCTTTTTATATTCTTTGAAATAAATTTTTATTTTTTACATTTAAGTAGAGAAGAAAATGTTTTTAGCTTGCAATTTTAAAAAGTAGTCTGGTGTATGTATGTTGTTACAAAAAAAAATGTCTTGTGTGTGAGTGTAAGATTTTTATTTTGATTTATTATTTTTTTTCAGCTGCTTTGATTTTTTTTCATTGGCCCACTAAGTATTGCACTGCGTTATTTGTAAAATATTAAAATTAAAATTTAGGCTTAATTCATAACTTTTTCGCGGTTTGATAACTACGAAATATTCTCGACTATAACAATGCTTGCGCATGTAAACATGCGGGACGTCACATGTCTAGAGATCTGCAAACACCGTTTCACATCATAGTAGCCAAAATTGCTTAATTATTCATGCATTCATAGCATTAGCGGTACGATAGTGTTCCACTCTAGATTATAGCCTAAGCTATGTTAAGTTTTTACAGTTGAACAAAGTTTAATTGGATGTAAAAACATAATATTTATATGTTAATAAAAAAACGACTATATTGTAAATGTATTTTTAGTGCAGTACAAAAAATTGCTTGTCCTGGAATACAGCTTATCAGAAAAGAAGCGTTTTATGCGCCGTTGCAAGCAGAACAGTTACTCCGAGTCATTGCGACAACAGAAAACGACCACGCAGGAAAAGAGAATGCTTTAACACCAATTGCAAGGGATACTGGAAAGCTGGGCATTGGTCTGAGGTAACAAAATACTGCAATATTACAAACAGCATTTACCTAAAACATACATAAATATTTTCTAGTAAGAAAATTCTATACTAGTGAGATCAGAGCCTTGGTGACTCAGCGGATATAGCGTTCGCTTCCCAATGAGGTGAACCGGGTTCGAATCCCAGCGATGGCTGGTCCATACGAATTCCGCACCAAGCTTGCACCGACCACAGTGCTGACGTAAAGTATCCTCAGTGGTAGATCATGAGTTAGAGCCCCTTTGCAGTCAGGCTAACAGTGGGAGGTTTTCCTCTCAATGAAACACAAATGCGGGTCCATCAAAAAGTCTTCAATGAAGACAAATTTATCCCAATATTTGATCTAAGAGTTCCCTTGTCTTCTGGATTGGATTCAAAATTAAAAAGCTTCGAAATTGAACATGTCGGTTGTTTAACGACGGCTGTAAAATCAATTTTAAAAGATTTAGGGTTTCGATGCATCGCATCTCGAGTTGTTTCAAAAACTTTGAATTTATTACAAAAAAAAAAACGAGTTCAAATAGCACGAGAGATTTTTTCATTCGACAATTATTTTAAAAAAACACATTATTACCAGCAATGAAACCAGGATCTTAGCTTTGGTTACGGGAACAACTTAACAGACAATCAAATAGCTCTTAAAAAGGGGGGGGGAATAAAAATTAAAAAAGACCGAAAATACTACATCAAAGTCACTCAAAAATCAAAGTAATATTTATTGTTTTCTTTAATTGTCGCAGTATTGTGTACCTACTCACTGGTCAGAATGGTTAAAGAAGATTCTATTTGAATGTTTTGTGAAGTTAGTGTGAAGCAATTCGTCGAAAGTTCTGTTTCCTCTTGAGTTTCGCATCGCGCCTTCCTACACCCTGCACTGAAGTTATTTATTATTCGTTCAATTTTTGGTAAAACATTCAACACTCACGTCCCTACAAGCACCGTGTTCTTCAGATATGGCTCTGTTTGAGCTTTTCTTACTCTCGAAATTGAAATTTCCTATTAACGGTATCCGTTTGAGTCCATTGATTCGATTAATAAAAGAAAATTCGCGACGAACATTGAATGGCATTCTCAAAAACGATTTTTTAAAGTCATGTTTTGGTACATATAAAGAAATGAAGTAAGGAGAGTATTTTGTAAAATTTTGACTAACTGATATATTTTGTTTCACCATTCCAAGTAATTTTTTATCTCAATAGTACATTATTGAGCTTAAAAAGGTTAGTTAATTATTTAACTAGGGTTTATCTGATGAAATAAAATTGTTATAGAAATACAAAACTATTTTTTTTACAGTGTACAGCCACGTGCGGAAATAAAGGCTTTCGAAGTAGAAGGGTTCAGTGCTTGTGGCACAATACTCAGGAAGCTGCTCCTAGTAATGCTTGCAAAGGACCGCCTCCTCTTTCTTCTTCCATTTGTGGTCGAACACCATGCACCGATGGTAAGACATTCTCATTCAACAATTTGTCTTAATGAACTAATAATTACTCGCCAAAATTTCTCTAAAATAAGTTTAGACTAATAAAAATAACCTAAGAGTTACTGGTACAAATATCTTGGAGACGGCAGCTACAACAGTTGTACCCTAAGGCATTTTTTTAAAGTATTTAAAAAAAGTATTAATTTGTGATGCCATATTTGTTTTATCTAAAATATACATATCTCTTTCAACACAACATCACACGTCTCTCATATATTAAATACTCTTATAACAAAACAAAAAAAGAGACAGTTAGGCTTGTTGTACCAGCTGTCTCCCAAAGGTTAGCTTCAATAGACTTAGATATAATCAAATATTTAAGCAGAAATGTAACTACAATTGAAACGTATTTGGTTCCATTCGGTATGTGCAATATTAATAGCATTCCCGCAACAGCCCGTTGTGGGCCTTCACAATTTCGTGACTAACGGCATGATTTTGGTAAAGTTTTCAACACTGCGCAGAATGCCTGTTTAACTCCCCAGACATGCTAGTAACCATCGATTTAAAGCTGGGTGAGCTTTAAGTAACCACTGTGAGGATTGAATCCTAGTCCTTAATCATGATAGCTCAATACTTTAACTATAGTCAGTCATACGTAAAAATTCCCTAGTAAGATTGTAACCTGTAACTCGGGTCGTCATAGGATCAATATTCGAGAATCTTGGCTAAATATGGGTTAAAAGGCCATTATCAATCTATATTTGGCAATATTTCTAGATGGCTTTAAAACTGAAAATTTCCTGTAATCATGACTCAGCCTATATAGGTCCTATATTTAATAGAATGAGCCTCTAGGTGTAATGGGGCAAAATCTGGACATCGTAATATTAGTAATGTTCGTGTAAAACCTATATTCATATCCGATCCGAACTCTAAATAATGATAGGAAATGTGATATTTAGTTATAAATACGAAGCTTAGAAGAGAGTAAACTTATAAAATACGATAAAAATATTCAAAATTAATTTTAATTAATTAAAGTTAATTATTTTTTATTGTTTTCAATCATTGCATGAAATAATTATGCATTTTAATTTTCAGCATATTTTAGATATAGTTGGATACTTTTTTAGTGTATTTCATGAAACAAAATTCATAGGATTCGAAAAATAAGACATTATATTAGGGAGACCGGAAAGTAGTGTCGTTTCGGCGCATTATCAAGATTTTATTTTTAAACAATAATGTATTCGCCCTCGTTAATAACAACCTTTCAATGCCGAATCGAAAATGAATCAAAATGGATAAAAATAAAAGAATTGGTTTTTAAGACAAACGAATATTTAATGCTCCGAAACGACATTACTTTCCGGTCCCCCTAATATATGTTTAAAGGATACTAGAATCGGATTTCTAAACTTTCTCGTAATTTTTAATTGTAATTAAAAACTGCGATCAACGAGAATAAAACTAATTATATTTTTACAAAGACAATCGCTTTGTAAAGGCATATGAACAGAAAGATTTTTTTTTTTTAAATGATACAAATCTTGTCTAATATATCGGACGCTGGATCTCTTCAGGATATTGAGCCAATTTTGAATGATTCAGGACAAAGATAAAAATGTTGATCATTATAAATGAAAGAACATAGGTATTGCTTGTCCCCAATGTCAAACGTAGTTCTGTGACCTACACTGGTGGACAAAATTAAGAGATGGAAAGCATACCCGCACACCGCTCCATGTGTTTGACAATGGTTCCGTGAATGCCGAGAGGTACAGGCAAGAGGTCGTCCTAGAGCCATATGTGCGTCTTCTCAGGGGCGCTGTTGGCCCTGAGTTCATTTTTATGGACGACAATGCGCGACCACATAGGGCTCTCATGGTTGATGAGTATCTGGAAAGCGAGGATATTCAGCGAATGGATTGGCCAGCCAAATCCCCTGACCTGAATCCTATTGAACATGCTTGGGATGCTCTTGGGAGAGCTATTGCGATGCGCCAACCTCCCCCCAGAACCATTCTGGAGTTAAAAATTGCTCTGGTGGAAGAATGGGAGGGTCTTCCACAAGTCCTCCTTAACTCCCTTATTAACAGTATGCATACTCGTTGTGCATGCTGTATGTCTGTCGGGGGTGACCATACACCATACCAAAAGCAACCGTAACCCTGGATGTATTCTTTGTGATGTCTTTCTCTGAATTGTTCTATCTGTATTTTCTACTTGACAATGACTTATAAGCCTATATATTGAGCACACAAGTCAGCAAATGTATGTAATTTCAATAAATCAACCAAAGGCAACACACACTGTACAAGGCTCACTTTTATTGTCATCTTTTATCCTTAAGTTCAGACTACATTGGATTTATTGGCAATAGGTCTTGCCAGTGAATGGCACTTTCATTTTTGTTTTGCATACTTTTTTATCACGGAATAAGCTATATCCATACCAAATTTCATTTATTTATATTCAGTATTTTTTGAGATATTTGGGAAAATGTCTTCCATCTCTTAATTTTGTCCACCAGTTTACATGAAAAAGACATTAACGTAAGACTAATGTTCTTTGTAAAATTTATTTTAAATCTGAAATAAAATCAAAACAATGAAAGAGGTCTCTTCCATTAAAAACTTTGCTTTATGAACTTTTTGTTCTTTTAAGACTCCAATTTATAAACTAGGTATCAACAAAAGGTTTAAGTAGCCTTAAGGTCTAAGTACTATCTGTAGCCTTTTCATGGCCCGTGATTTAGAAGAATTGAAACAAAGTATTGTATGTTATTTTTACAGCATCAGAAGAAGAAGACTGCTATGATCAGTCGACATACTGCCATGTGGTCAAAGTCATGAAGTTATGTGATGCTAGTCACTTTAGGTTGCAATGTTGTGCATCATGTGGACTGAAAAAATGAATAGCAAGTTTATGTCCTACAGCAATTCTCACTGCCTATAAAGATAGCTGTAAAGCATGAAATAACTATGCATAAGATCTATGCATGAAATATCTATGCATTGATCAAAGTATCTTAGAAAAAATAAAGGAAAATAATATCCCTATCAATTATTTCGATTAAAAAAAAAAACTAATATTAAATACAAGGTGCTTGAATTAAATTTCACGGCTGTGAAACTCCATTCACTTGGAGGGATTTGACTGGAAAAAAGCAGAGTCTTTAACAAAATAATCATTCGCATGAACAACCAGGCTTAAAGATGCGTCAGTTGGAAAATAGAAACTGATCTTTTAATCCTTAGACCTTAGTCAGTCATCGATCAAGGCGATTTCGAAGGAGTTAAAACTGAATATCTATTATTCTGATTTTATTTATTAAAAAAAATTAAATCATTAACTTTGGCTTAAGAATTAGAATCTCGAGTTTACAAATGATTAATTGATGTAAGGCTACAACCTCATAGAACTACAAAATCAAGGGCAGATGTTTTAAAAACCAAGATAAAAAACGTGATATTTATTACTTCGCAAAATTAAAAATATATATACATATATTACGTGATATTTATTACTTAATGTGTTCTATTCTGTTTTGTTTCAAAATTTCTTTTTATTGCTTCTCACACTATTGTATTGATATATTTCGCTATGGCTATGTTGATACAATGTTAGAAAGCACTCATTTTTGCGGATATAATCGTGTGAGCTGATGAAGAAATTATATCTCTTTTTTTTAGTATATATATTTTTAAATAATGTTTTTCTTCTCTTTTTTCATTAGTCTGTAATTTTTTTAATGTTTCCCCTACATTTTCCACTTCATTGTCAAAAGTTCAGACTCACTCTTGAATTTTTAAAAATGAACAAATAACAAGGTTTTTAAACTGAAAATCACAACAAATTAACTTCATTTTGATAATTATAGGTACACTTATGCGGTAAGAACTATAAATTTATGTATAGCTTATGACTTTCGTCTAATCTTGTAGTCTTCGAAAGATCCTCCTTTAGCCTAAGTCACAGCAGCGGATATTGTCGGCATTATTTCTATTAGTTTTTGCAATGTTCTAATTGAGATCTGGTTCCAGCAACTAAGTAGATTCCCAAAGTTTGTTTTGATTGATACATCGCATTTTTCTAACATTTCTATCGAGTTAATCCCACGATAGCTCAATATAATTAATATCTTGGGATTGAGGGGGCCCATCCATGTATATCAGTACTTTTTTTTCTTTTCTTTTGATGCAATGTAGTTTCTACACAATTTCGATTAATGTTTCGGATCGTTATCTTGCTGAAAAACAAATCCTTGACCAACCATGTCCAGATGCAAAAGCGTAACGCTGCAATATTCTGTGACATTTTTTATCCATAATTCCCTCTATTCTTTCAAGATCTCCAACTTTGTCACTGGCAAAACATCCTCAAACCATGACTGAACCTCCACCATGCTTCAGAGTTGGTAGTAAACATTGATTTGTCATACGTTCACCAATTAAATGACGAACATACTGCCCTCGTTTGCTTCCAAACAACTAAACTTTTGACTTGTCAGTAAACGAAACATTTGACTACTGTTCTAAAGACCAGTTAACATGTTTTTTGCTCATTTAAGTATGTTCTGTTTTTTCAAAAGAGGTTTTCTAGCAGCTATACAACCTTTTAAATCATAGTCACGAGGTCGACGTTGTACAATGGCTACTGACTAAGTTTTCTGCCTAGTAGCATCCAATTCCTCACGGATTTCTAGTGTTGTTTGAGTCCGCTGCCGCTTACTTTAAATTCAGATAAACTTATTCTAACGTTTGGACGTTATTCTAGGTCTCCCTGATCGTTGGAGGCTCTTATTTTGGCCAGTTTTTTTCTTTGTTTGCAAAGTTCTGACAAGAGTGGTCTAGGAAACATTAGTTTTAGAGGCAATTTATCTACTTGAATAGCCTTTTCCATGAACTGCAATAATATTTGCACGTGTTTTGACTCTTGTTTTTGGTTTTTGATCCACAATACTGTAAAAAATTGCATAAAATAATGTTAACTTTTGTTTTTAATATATACCAGTTATTCTGTCAAATGAAGGCTATTATATCAATATTTTAAATGTGTTATGTACATGAACTTATATCATAATGAACCTTGCAAAATATTAAAAGAAAATTGCTTATAAACAAAAAATTAATAAATTTTTTTAAATAAATAATTTTTTTTTTTTAGAATAGGTATTTACATGTACTTTCGTTCATTCCGCATTCAACTACAGAATAGATACAAAATGAAAAAAATAATGAACAGTTTTAAAGGAAACAGCGTTTTACGAAGTTTGTTGATGTTTATGTTTGATAAATTATATGTTTAGGTCAGAAATATTTAACTATTTTTGAAAGTTTTNATAAAGCAAAATAATATAATCGTTATGCTTTGGAAACTAAGCCAGGATGAGACAAAAATGCAATCAAAATCAGTTGTATCACTGTTGAGAAAAGCGAAATGAAATTAAGAAAACAGTTTGATTAGCTGATGAAATTGAGAAGTGTTTCTAAAAACCGTTTTTCAACTCTTTTATGTTTCCTTCAGTAATCAAACAGGTACAATATTTAGATTTCCACATTTTTTTTTAAAAAAAGAAACCACTGCCTGTTATTTAAATGATGTTAAGTATTAATGGATGATTCAGGGCGGTGTGTAAATAAATGGGGCCTGATTATCCCAAATGTCTTACAATGCAAAAATATACCAAAGTTAAATTCAACCAATCAAATACATAAGAGAAAACGAAGAAGATGCTTCCAATATTTCTGCGTTTAAGGTTCAACACAGTAGAAGCTAGTAAAAAAAGGATAAATTTTTTTAATGAATTTTGCAACAATTGTGATAAACTTAACACACATTTTCTTTATCTTATTGTAAATATTTTAATCTTTATTTTATCAAGTTAAAAATGCAAAAATTTTAAAAATTAGCTCTTATAACTTATGTAATGTTTATAATGTATTTTTTAAATTATCCATAACTTGCTGTATTCGTAAATTATAAAAAAATTACCCAAATTTGATTCCATTTTGAATTTTCTTAACCTCATGAATGTAGTTTTCCTTGCATGTAGTATTTTTTTTTTTTTTTTTTTTTAATTTCTTAAAAAAATGGTAGTGTTTTTAAATTTTTTTAAGAAATGACTTATAATATGTTACATTTTCAAAGATTACTCAAAACCAGTAAACCCAATTAAAAAATCCTTACGTGCAATGAAAACTATATTTATATTAATATTGTGCAAAACTTGAATTAAATCCATTGAAAATTATACTAGTTAGACATACAGCAAGTAAGAAAAACATAGTTCAGAGTAATTTGAATTTTTTGTGATCAATAATCCATTTAAATTTATAAAATGCTGCCATTAACTATAATACATCAATACCAGGTCCAAAAGAAGCTTTTTCTCTATCATTTTCAGCAGTCTTTAAATGCTAGTTTAGTCCTTTTTCTCGTGGACTTACTGTCATGTGACACCATATGCCTTTAGATTAGCAGTCAAAATTCTGCGGCTATCTTCCTTTTGAACATATTCCTTGGCTGCTGGGCCTATATTTATTTCGAATTGTTCTAAAACTGTCAATAACCCATTGCAAATTTCATTAAAAATTATTACAGTTAAATAAGTTGCAATTTCAACTATTTATATTGAAAATACCTTAAATTCTTTTTCTTACATAACTTAAACAATTTTTTTCAATACAATAGTTAAAATAGTTGCATCTTACCAAAATGCTTTGACAAGAGTTAGCAAATCAATACATCAACTGAGTTCATTTGTTTTTGCATTTCACAACATGTTATCGAGCACCACTCTCAACCTATTATGCTGTAACTTTTTATTTTTATGAAAATCATTTTAATATTTTGGTAAAATCATCTTAAAAGGTTAAACTGTGAAAAAATTCAATAATTTTTTCTTTTGAAATTTTTACTGTGTTGTTCCTCTTAAAGCAACATTTAGTTGTTACAGATGTGACAACAAAGTATATTAAGTTTTAAGACTACAAATTGTAATTCAAAAGTTTTGATTACTATTTTTTCAAAATTAAAGTAAATCACAAAACTAGAATTGATACTCGGCTCCAATAGCACATCCGTAACAATAGCTAATAAAGTATTTGCATTTTACCTGTGATAACAAAGACAATCCCCCCAATCAACAAAACTTTTTCATTCGCATACTTAATTTGTTTATCTACAACATTCAAGCATTCTATAACTTTACACAAATATTTAAATCTGTAAACTGCATGTACAGACTTGCAATTTAATTACTGCACCTTGTAATGTTTAAAATTTTCATTCAACTACTCAAAATTTTTACATCTGTCTTTGCTTGTCTTTTTTCCCAACAGACTAATATCTATATTGTATGTTTAGAATTGAAGATATGATATATGATATTTGATGTTACTGATATGAAAAGAATCAGAATAAAACAATTGTAAAGTTTTGGTAATATAATGTCTTTGGAGTTAAGAGAGAATTCATTAAACGTGAAAAATAATTTTCAAAGTGTTAAAAACAGAGTATGATTAAGTGGAGAAAACACTCTTCAAGTAAGATATTAAAGTAATATTTTTCTAATCTCTCTCAAATTACTGACAATACTGATTCTGATTCAATATTAATTCTTCTAACATATATTTTAACTTTTAAAGTTTAATATAGAATAGTTATTCATCTCAAGCTTTCAAATTATTACATTCTGAAACATTTTATTGTGATATTTTATGATTTTCAATTAAATTGCTTATACTCACTTCTAAATATGTATATCATGTTCCCAAATAAAAATTATGTTATACAATTTTAATGACATTTCATTTTTTTAATAAAGTTACTACATTGAACAATAATCTTTTGACTTTTACCCTTTCTTACTCATAATTATTTAAGAATAATAAAAATAAAGTAATACTAATAGTGCTACTTTTCTTTATTTTAATTGGATTAACTAGACAATGTATCTTTTTTAATCTCTATTTTATTAATATAAATAATATAACCTCTAGTAAGTGGTACAACTACTAAATTAAAGAAAACTGATTAGTTTTAATTGTGACACATCGTTGCAGTTTTCCTTATACAAAAGTTTATTATTTTTTAATTGAACTGTCTACTTATTATTTTTTAAAAAAATAATAATAAGTTAAAATAAAATACTCTGCAACGTAATACACAGTACTAAATAAAAGTAATATTATTATTAAAATAAAAAAAATCACATCAGAAACAATCTGTTACTAATTATAGTGAAAAACTTTAATGTATTTTGACTTAGATAAATGTACAGTAAAATAATAATAAATGAAACTCCTATACAAATTTTCAAATGAATGCATACAATCACATAAAATAATTCAAACAATAAATGAAAAACAAAATGAAATAAAAAAGAGGATAAAATCTATATTAATGCAACAAAATAGCTAAAAAAATAAATATGCCACCCATATTAAAACAAAATTAAGTAAACATAGTGGNAAAAAAAAAAAAAAAAAAAAAAAAAAAAAAAAAAAAAAAAAAAAAAAAACATGGCATTCTATGAATTTAGAAATTTTAAATTATAATTCATAAGGGGTTAATAATTTTAACTAATGAATAAGTTTAGAAATACATATTACTAAAAAGAGGTTCAAAATGAAATTCAAAGAAATGTTATTTTATATTTAAAATGATAATAAATGGATAAATTTTAACTATCAGCCTTTTTTTTACATATATTGTATACAAATTTTGAAACCAACAGTTTAAATTTTTGAACGTTGGATACAAGGAATCATGATTTTATTTTTTATTACATAAATAAATAAGGGATCCAAATAATTGAGGACTAAAAATATTACAAGCTAAATGTGAAGAAAAAAAAATTAAAGTGTTTGGAAGAGCACTGAAAACTTCTGACTTTTGGTATTTACAGCCTTGTTTCTACATCTCACTCACTTTTTGCTCCTAGTCAACACTTTAAAATGTTTGTTATTAGTTTTAAGTCATTCAGTTATTATTCTTTATAAGTATTTATTTTTTAAAATAATTTTGAAAATTATTAATTTTTCAGTTACTTAAAAGAAAGTTGTGCAATGAATACACATGTACCACGGATCTTATCATTGGTACTTTCAAGGTTCTCCACATCCCCTTATATGGCACATAGAAATAACAAGATCTTTCAATTCTTTTTTGAATTATTGTTACTAAGATTTTCACTTCAAGTATTCAGTTTTTCCTTCATTTTTTTTCCATCTGATCTCTTTTTCCATTTGTTTTCTATTTTCAGTCCTCAATTACTTCTCATTCGAGGGCAATTTCCCCATTTATGAATGTTATATTTGCAGACTTTAAATGCATGTAACTCAGTTTTAAAAAAAATCGAGAAGTTCGAATATTTTTATTAAAATAACCCTTGATGCCATTTACACTTACTCCAGTTTTTATTAGATATTTAAAATGTAAAGAAAAAAATTGGCTGTTATGGACGTAGCATATTCACACATACATTCATAACATCTAATTTCTTATTTTAAAAAATTTTAACTTATGGAAGTACCAAAAAATTGGAGTAATGTGACATTATGAAATAAAATTACATAACAATGACATCACGAGTTAACTTAACAATAGCTATTAGGAGATCATGATTTTTTTTCCATCTGAGTTATATGCATATAAAGTCTGCAAATATGGCACTCCTAAATGGAGGAATTGTCCTAAAATGAAAAGTTTTGATTTCAAATCAAACTCAAATATTTAATAAATGGAAAATAAAACATTATAAAACATGGAAATTAAAAAACAAACGTTACAGATTATGGGTATATAACTGAATTAAGTTTAGACAATACATCACAATTAATGCTTAAGTAGAATCAATGAATATTAAATGAAATTTTACATTAATTTATCCTTGATGGAGAGCAAGAGGCTGATTGCTGCCTTGTAAGAGAAGCTCTGGCTGGCACAGCAGATACAGACGAAGCGCGCGAGCGTCTAGGAGATGGTGTGGCAGATAATGGCCTGATTGGCTGAGATGGGGTAGATTTTAGATCTGCACTTACGGATGTTGAGGAACTCAGACCAGATGCTACAGCTGGCAATAATGAGGCAGGTAAGTCAAAAGATCCTGAAAATCTTTGATACATACTAGTTTTTTTCTTGTCAGATTTTTTAGATTCTTCTGCATTTAAGCGTTGCTTGGAAATGATAGCTTGATATAATAGTTGAGTAATGTTTTTGAAATGCTCACCACTCTTTTGCATCTCTTTAACAGCACTGAAAAGAAAATATCTCTCATGAATAACTATTTATATAACCGTCTTCTAACAGCCTACCACCCAATTTTGGGTTTAAGCCTACTAATGTTCAATTCTATAGCCATGTAACTTTGAACCCAATTCAGAAGACAAGGCAACTCTTAGATCAAATATTGGGAGAAATTTGTCTTTGTGGAGGACTTTTTGATAAAACTAGCCTGCATTTGCGTTACATGGAAAGGAAAACCACAGAAGCCATCCACGTTTAGCTTGACGACAAAGGGACTCTAACCTATGATCCATCTACCAATAAGGATATTTTACGATCTAAGGATTCAGCACTGTGGTCGGTGTGAGCCTGGTACGGAGTTCATATTGACCAGCCATTGCTGGGATTCGAACCCGGTTCACCTCATTGGTCTCCTGAGCGATTACGGATTCTATGAATAACTATTATCATGACAGAGATATATGTTATAACAAATAAATTAATTATTATATTAAATTCCAAGATCAAAGAAATTATTTCCAAAAATTAAAGCATAGTAGGCTCCTGATTATCAAGTCTAGTTAGGTTGAATAAAGGGTAGGTCAGATAGCAAAATAGGAGAAGTTCCACTTCCTCTCCCCTCTCTAATATGATTAAAATACATGTCATGTATTTTAAGATAAATGATTAATAAACAAAAATTTATTAATACAAAGATACTCACAAAGTTAATAATTAAACTTCACTAAAGTGAAAATTATAACCAGGAAGAGTCAAAATGTGCAGGCCACGGATTTAGCCAAAGGTAACTAAACCAATGGTGATTAAAAAGGCCAGAAGCCACTGGTCGTCAGTTTCTTTAACAAACCTTATGTGCATTTTTCTATTATTTTTAACAATTATGGAATTATTAGGAATGTTTTATAATATTCAGAAAATTATTTTATTTCCCGCTCATTAAATAAAACTCTTGTTCATTTTAGAAATAAACCTAGTGTTTACTAGTGTTTGTAAAAAGCTTTAAAAAAAATGGCCTTATATCATGATATACCATTTTCAAATCATTGGAAACTTTCAATGATAAAAACACAAGTGGCCACTGTTAGAAATGCTACAACTAACTACTGACCAGTAGCAACATTTCCTAATTTTGAGTACAGTCAGACCTCGCTATAAGGTCACCCTGCATATAAGGTCACTTTTCCAAAGTCCCGACTCACTGAATAGGAATTCTTTGTTACAGATTATCGGATATATGGTCAAGTTTTAAAAATCGTTATCGCATATAAGGTCATTTTTAATTGAGGTGAGGGAACTCTTTTCTAACAAAATCCTATTTAACTTCCATACAAGGCAATTACTCCTCTCGAGTTCTAGGAAGATGTTGCAGNGTAAACAGCTTTATTTTAATTTTAAAAAATTTAAAAATCTAACTTTCTATAATTCGCTACTAATTCTGTTAAAATTTATTTACTTAAATAGATAATTTATGGCCGATCGTTTTCGTTTGTATTACCATTTTTAAAAAATCATAATGTGTACTATTTACGTGCTTAGTTACGAACTGCTAATGAATCGGTTAAAAGGTCACCCCGCTTATAAGGTCACTTTTGCGATGTTCCTTAGGGTGACCTTATATCGAGGTCTGACTGTATATGGTTTGAATGGTCATTAAACTGGAAAGTCACGAGCCTGATAATTGGAAGGCTACTGTATAGGCTAGGGGTGTACAACCTATGGCCTGAGGGCCACATGCGGCCCACGGGAACTTCAGAACACAATAAAAAATTTCTTTTAATTTGGTTTTTATTTAAACATTATAAATTTTCTTTTATTAAATATTGTATTCAAATTTATATTACTCTATAAAATGCATACTTTGGTTAGAATTTATATCCCCTACCCCCAAATATTTATGTTATATATATATAAATATTTGATAAATTAATTATTGAGAAAAATGGAAAAAGCTTTTTAAAAAATGTAATTTTTTTTTAGTTTTAATTAATTTCAAATAATTAAAAGCATTTAGTTTTCTGCAAATATGTTAAGTTTACTGCTAAAAACATTTGGTGCTTAGAACACCAATGTTTAGATAAAAGTTATCATGTTTGCCGCTAACATGACTAAATATGAGTGCGGCCCTTCATTAATCTATGTGCAGTGTAAGTGGCCTTTCACTCAAAAAAGTTGTGCACCCCTAGTACAGGCAAGCTTTACATTCACATTTCTAAAATGAAAAATAGCAATAAAGCAATTTGAATTTTGCACAATTAACAAAATATTGCTGGTATAATGAAATTTAATTCAAAAATAAATTTTAAAACTATCGTAAAATTGCAACAAAAAATTGCATGGTCAAAAATAAGTATTTTTATTTTTTAAAATAAATTAATTTCATAAAATTATAATTCAACTTCAAATATCCAAGTGATCATTTTCAATAATCGTTACTTCCCAAAAGTGAAAATCTATTGCTTTGTGAATAATTAAAAGTAATAAAGTTGGTAATAAAGTTCTGGATACAGCTTGAAAAGTGTGTTTAAGAAAAGAGGCACAGCAAAAAATGTGCCTTTTAAATGTTCAACCCAAATTTATCAACTAAACAGGAAATTTAGTACTTAATTTTTCTTACTTTTTAAACACTAAACATAATCATTAAGGGAAAAAACCTAATGTATTGTGGTCATGGTGGCTGGGTGTAGAGCAGATATTTGGGTACATTTAAGGCATATCTTCGTATTCAGAGCAATAAATTATTAAGTGGTTTTAAAAATTTTTAAATTCCTACAATGTTAATTTAATACTACTAATATATATTTATATGACTCATGACAGCCTAGCAAAAAGAACTGATGACTTTGAATTTCTTTTAAAATAATTAAGAAATGAACTAAGTGATTTAGGAAAATGGACATCGCAGAGTGAATTTATGAGGATGAATTAATTTATTCTTAAAAAAAAGAACAATTACCATAAAGAAATTTGAAAAATGGAATCAAATTCTATGCCAATTTTCTTTCAAGATGTTCTTAAAAACATCTTTTGATGTTTTTAATGACACCTTGAGAGCTATGCCCATTTTCTTAAGCATGCATTTTTAGCTATGTCCGGCTAGCATCCTTTTTACTTAGGATTGAGGACAAATACTGAGATCTCAAAATGTTGCTTAAACAAATTTGTGCACAGTATTACTCATAAAAATTAAATATTCCACTTACTTGATTGCATATTCCAAATCATAGCATTTTCCTTGAAGTTCTCTATGTAGTTGATTCACTTCAATCTATAAATGACATAGTTTTATTAATTTAATGATTTACAATCACAAGACCAAATACTAAAATCAAAATTAAAAAAATATAAATCACCAGCTCTAAATAAAGGCAGAATTTTAAAAGAAATAAAAATGCTTCACCAGATGAATTTGAAGCAAAAAAAAATTCTGCCTTTTCCTAGTTCACTACTAAGCTCAAGCAGAACTTTTAAATTATAGACTTTTATCTAAATCTTGAATAAACCTAAAGAAATAAAGTATATAATTTTTTTCTTAATTGATAGCTTATTCATTTAAGATTTATGAAAGTTTTAATTAATAAATGCATCATAAAGCTATTAATTTCATTGTGCCATTTAGAAATTTTATGAGTATTTATGTTAAACACTTTGTTCCCGATTTTTAACCAACAAAATAGAGATTTAGCCACCTATATAAAGCAGGTGTTTTTCTCAGAGTTTTAGGGTAGTTTTTTACATAAAGTTCAAAATGAAAGTCTTGACTATAATCCTCTAATAAACAACAAGAACCCAACAGTCAAACCAAGCAACTAAACAATAAGACAGAGACACACAAATACTCAAATCTACCATTATTTGACCAGTTCTAACATCCATTGCAATAAACACTCATATTACATCAAGAAAAAATAAAGGGGCATAAATCTTCACATTTAAAAGAAGAAATTGACTTTTTAATTTCATGTAATTTACGTGTATTTCTTTTAGCATATTATTTTATCAATAGTGAAATGAAGTTACATTTTATTAATCTTAACATACTTTTAAAGTTATTGTATGATAATCATAAAATTAAAGATTTAGATATCAAAGTGTAACATAGAATTTTCTCTGAGTAAATTTTTAAATAGAATAGAATCATTCATTTTATTAATTATAGCATGTTAACATTTATGTTAAAATATGAATATTTCTGTGTAAAAAAAATTCAGCAGCCATTGAGGACCAGGAGGTTAATGAAAGCTAAAGTTCCACAATTTCATGAATAACGGCATGACTGAAATAAGCAAAGTGGTCAGCATTGCGCACAAGCTGCCTTTACTTCCCACACAAGCTGGTGCTGAATCTGAGCTGCGTGAGCTTTAAGTTGCCGCTCAGAATCAAACTAAAGTTCAGTATATTAACCACTAACCCATCAGAGCTCAATATATTTGTGCCGTGAATGAAAATACTACTTATTGATGGTAGGGTGGAACAAGAAAAAAAAGTACTTTACATTAACTTTTAACAGTGAAAAACATATGAATAGATTTAGTAACTCTGGCTAACACAGTGGACACACAGTTTAATATTCTCAGGAGGGGACAATGTTGTCTCCTACATTTCATTTTTGCTTTTTGTTAAAAATAATAGTTTTAACTTATCTCATTCCACGTATTTTACTGAAAGGAGATATTTATGATTATAATGAAAGATTTGCCAAAAAGAAGTTTTAGGTGGCTTACATTATTATTTTGACAGGACACATTTCTTTGTAAAAGAAATTTCAAAAAATTGTGAAATTTAATCAGGTGCTGTAGTAAAGTTTCTAGCCATACGATTCACACCTTTAAGAGCCTTGAAGTTTGAGAAGGCAAGTGTGTGATTAATATGTACTTAACATACAAGTGTATATTGTCAGTAGATAAAAACAATCAATTTTTAAAAATATTGTTCTTTTTTCTCCAATAAAGTAAGGAATTATAGGTAAAAAACCAAAAATAGAACTTTGCAACAAAAGCATTCCCTCAATATATTAATGAATATTTATAAAGTTTTGCACATTAGCTAATTATCATCTAAGGCAACTTTAAAATCGATAGAAAAAACTTCAGATTTTTTAACCCAATCTAGCTCTCAAGGGGATTGTGAACTGTAGATTCAGTGGCCATATATTATGACTGATTGAGTTGAAATTTAAATCAAAAAGTGCTCAACAAAACTGCACCAAACTAAAAGTAAAAAGAACTTACACATTTCAGTGTAATAAACTCAACCTTCATTTTAAAAAAAAATTAACTTCTAGAGGTGAAAATAAATCAAGATATCTAATTGAAGTATGAGAGAGACTTGATTTTTAAATTGTAATTGGAATAATATTTTTGTAAAATATTAAGCTCAAAACAGTGGTTGGAAGTAGCGTGCAACAAGTAGGAAAACTGCTGCACTTATAAAAAAGAAAAAAATATTTTAGTTTAAAAAAACATTAATTTGTAGCTATTTTTGGCAACTACTTTAAACATTAGTTTTATAAAGAAACAAGGTTCAAACGGAACTAATTTTTTTTAAAAATCTCATTGGTACAAATTTATCCGCAAGTCCAACAATGGATGAAATTAAAATGGCCCTGTGGCCTGGCATTAATAAGAATTACCTACTTAGAACAACATATAACTAACATTTAAACTAACCATTACAAATAATAGGTAATTTATAATTTTGGAGACACTTTTAAATGTGATACTACACTCATAAAATATTATGTTATTACAGTGGGTGGGAACATATTTTGCTCTGTAATTTTCGATGTGCCTTATTTCTTGGATAAAATAAAATAGTAATAAACACTTAGAAATATCACAAATATTTGATAGCATTTCTTAAATAAAATATTACCCATTAAGAAAGGCATAAAAATTGAAGATGAAAAGACCAAATTCGTAAAAAATGGTTTAGAATAAGAAACTGGCTCTGGTAAACATAAAAAAAATATTCCTTAATAATTATTTATTTTCAAATGAGCCACTTTTTTAAAATTCAAAACCATTTTGAACATGGGCGTAAATTAAGTTCTCCAGCTAAGTTTGTCTCCTAAAACAAGTGTAGTTGTAATTACATTTTGAAAGTAGTTTGTAGTCACTAATTAAAAAAACAAAAAAACAGTTGTAGTTAACTACATCTGCAAAAAAATAGCTGTAGTTTACTATATTTGAAATAAAGAAGTTGTAGTTAATTATATCAGTAATAAAGTAGTTGTAATTAACTAAAAAAATAACGTAGTGGTACCGTCCACTGGCTTAAAATGTGCATAAAAACTGTATGAAATTGAAACCAGGTCAAACTATAGACTAAAAGCTTCACATTATCAAGTGTAAAAAAGTATTTAAAAAAGTTTTTCTTCAGTTAAGTATGTAAAACTTAACACTGAAAAGTTATTTTATATAACTGAATAAACCTTTTTAGCATTGTATCCAATTTTGAAATGTAACAACTTATTATTTTGCTGATAGTAAATCAATTATTTAATATATAAACACACATTTTATTTAACTATTTTTATCAGGACATATTTTCAGGGAACAAAATAAATACAAAAGAGTAAATACCCTCTTCAATACTAATTGTGGCAGAGATTTGTGTACGTGTTCTTGCAGTCGATAGCATGCTAAAGATGGCTCATTTGCAAATATATGAAGATTTTCAGATATTTTTTCAGAGGCTAGAAAAAAAACATTATTTATAGATTTAGATTGCATAAATTAAAGCAGAATTGCGAAATATAAGTTATTCTGGAATATAACAGACAGTTAGTATGTGTAAGATCAATCATAACAAGTAAAAAATAACTTGGACACAAATTTCTTTTTTAAATTAAGTCAAATAATAAAAATAAATAACAATAACAAATAAAAAGCCATTTAAAGAATTCAAATGCTAAGGAAAAACATGGTTGTTTTATCTTTCATATACCATTGTTGCAAAATACCTATTATGCATAACGTATCTATAAAATATCCAAAAAAACTCAAATGACATTTCATGCACTACATTATTGAATAAAAATTTCTCTTTTTTTAACTACTAGTTGATACTTTTAGTTAGTTTACTTAGAAATAATCCATTTTACTCAATAAATTCTAAAAAAATATGAAGAAAAAAAAACTATATATAGTCGTATCGAAAGAAAGAATGCAAAGTTATAATTTTTTCATCAAGTTTAAACTGTCAACTTAAGTTCAAAATAAGTACAAATAGTTTCAAAATTTTAAAAGATTAGAGGCAAATACAGGACAAAAAAAATGCTTAAAGGTAAAATAAAGTTTTAAATCTCGTTTTTCAATAAGCTTGGTAAAAATAAATAAATTAAATCAAATATTTTTTTTAAAGTAAGAAAGGTAACAACAATTAAAAATTCAAAACTCAATTGATGAAATTAAAAAAGATAATCTTACTACTTATTTATGGCTGTTATATAGGAAAGTTCTTTTAATAAGACACAAAAATTGTTTAAACGAAATATTTTTTTAAAAATTAGTTTGGTAAAAAAAATAACTAATAGTTTTTGTAAGGAATAAGAAAGGGGTTACATCTCAAAGCTTAACTGAAACAATAAAAATACTATTTTAATATTCATTTAAACCTGTTATTGGGAAAGTTCTTTCAAAAAGACAGGATAAGGAAGAAATATAGCTAAAATAAAATTTTTAATTAGAAGGAAAATAAATGAAAACAATAATTATGCTTTGCAAGAAATTAAGAAAAATAATAACATTCTATATTTCAAAATTTAATTAATGTGAAAAAATTAAAAATAACAATTTTAATACTTATTTAAAGCTGTTCTTTCAATAAGACAACTGATTCGTGAATATTTACAATATAAATATTTCTTCAAAACATTCAATAGAAAGATATGTATCAAATATTATAAAAATTTCAATTAATATCATTTTTTATTTTGAAATTTATAGTGATCAAAATTTAAATAAGAATTTTTATTAGATATTAAATTTTTTTATTTTACAGCTTTCAAATAATAATCTAGACAAATGGCACACTTTGGTTGAAAAAAATGGAGTGAAATGAGTAAATGGATGTACAAGAAACGAATGAAATAAAAATAAAAATAAATGCTTTCCGATACATTGATGATTTGATTTTGTTTAATTGTGATGATTATAATTTTATTTATAGTATTTATCCTGGTGATTTGGTCCTGAAAAAAACTAATGAAAATTGTTTTAATATTGAATATTTAGATTTTAAAATTGATATTGTTAACAGTTTTATTAAAATTGGTGTGTTTGATAAAAGAAAAGCTTTTAATTTTAATGTTATTTTTTTCTGNCTTACAGGCTGCTGCCGAAAGTTTGCTAAGAATTGGCGATGTTCTGCAGCAGATCGCGATACGGGCGAATATTTCGTCGACTTCGTTATTAATTTTTTTAAATAGTCTTTCTCTCAGAAAATTATTTCATCTTAAATAACTTTCCTTGACAAATTTTTTTGCTACTAAAAAAAAAATTTCGTTGGAAGCGCCGCTGCATCGGAAGCGCCGCATGTAGGAAAAAAACAACTTTTTTTTCGATAGCGCCGCGGCTCTTCCGCCGAAAAATACGGTAATATATAAACACACATTTTATTTAACTATTTTTATCAAGACAAATTTTCAGGGAACAAAATAAATACTAAAGAATAAATACCCTTTTCAATACTAATTGTGGCAGAGATTTGTGTACATGTTCTTGCAGCCGGTAGCATGCTAAAGATGGCTCATTTGCAAATATATGAAGATTTTCAGATATTTTTTCAGAGGCTAGAAAAAAAATTTATTAAAGATTTGTATTGCATAAATTAAAGCAGAACTGTGAAATATAAGTTATTCAGGACTGTAACACACAGTAAGTATGTGCACGATCAATTATAACAAGTAAAAAATAACTTGGACACAAATTTCATTTTTTAAATTAAGTCAAATAATAAAAATAAATAACAATAAAAACATTTAACAAATGAAAAGCCATTTAAAGAATTCAAATGCTAAGGAAAAGCATGGTTGTTTCATCTTTCATATACTATTGTTGCAAAATACCTATTATGCAATATGTATCTATAAAATATCTAAAAAAACTCAAATGACATTTCATGCACTACATTATTTTATAAAAATCTCTCTTTTTTTTAACTCTAGTTGATACTTTTAATAAACAACTTAGAAATAATCCATTTCGTTCAATAAATATCTAAAAAAATATGAAAAAAAGAACAACATAGAGTCGTATCGAGAGAAAGAGTGCAAAATTTTAACTTTTTCATATGGTAGAAATATTTTAATAATTTTCATCAAGTTTAAATTGTCAACTTAAGAATAATTTCAAAATTAGTACAAATAATTACAAAACTTAAAAAGATTAGAGGCAAATGCAGGACAAAACAATGTTTAAAGGTAAAATAAAGTTATAAAATCTCACTTTTCAATAAGCTTGGTAAAAATAAATAAATTAAATCAATTATTTTTTTTTAAAGTAAGAAAGGTAACAACAATTAAAAATTCAAAACTCAATTGACAAAATTAAAAAAGATAATCTTACTACTTATTTATGGCTGTTATATAGGAAAGTTCTTTCAATCTGACACAGAAATTGCTTAAATGAAATATTTTTTTTAAATTAGTTTGGTAAAAAATATAACTAATAGTTTTTGTAAGGAATAAGAAAGGTGTAACATCTCAAAGCTTAACTGAAACAATAAAAATACTATGTTAATATTCATTTAAACCTGTTATTGGGAAATATCTTTCAAAAAGACAGGATAAGGAAGAAATATAGATAAAATAAAAATTTTAACTAGAAGGAAAATAAATAAAAACAATAATTATGTTTTGCAAGAAATTAAGAAAAGTAATAACATTCTATATTTCGAAATTTAATTGATGTGAAACAATTAAAAATAACTATTTTAATACTTATTTAAAGCTGTTCTTTCAATAAGACAACTGATTCGTGAAGAATATAAATATTTCTTCAAAATATTTAATAGAAAGATATGTATCAGATAAGATAAAAATATTAATAAATATCATTTTTTATTTTGAAATTTATAGTGATCTAAAGTTTGAACAAGAATTTTTATTATATATTAAAATTTCTTCTTTTACAGCTTTCAAATAATAATCAATGCAAATGGTACACTTTGGTTGAAAAAAAATTGAGTGAAATAAGTAAATGGATGTACAAATGGATTGAAAATACATTAAAAAATAAAAACAAAATGTTGGCAGAAAAAGCTATATATATTGGTTAAAATTAATTCCATTATTTCAAATTGTCAAAAATTTAAATCAAATGATCAATATGAGAAAAACTTGCCTGATAACTATATTTAATTTAAATTAGTTGCAATTTAAATTAGAGTAAAAAAAATAAAGATTAACATCATTTGCCAAAGAGAACAAAGAAAACAATGGAAATTTTTTATAATGTAATAAAATAATTTAAACAAGTTTATACAGAAGCTATAACATTTTAATATACAGCACACACGAAAAATTAGCATTCTTTTCCTTTTTTTTTTTTTTTTTTTTTAAAAATAGGTAATTTAAGCCAANGAAAAACTTGCCTGATAACTATATTTCATTTAAATTAGTTGCAATTTAAATTAGCGTAAAAAAAATAAATTAGCATATAAAAAATATGAAATTATTTTTTTTAAAAAAAGGAAAAGCTGTATAAAATCACCAATTAATCAAAGTGAAATTATATTTCATTATTGTTAAGTATATTGAGTATTATTAAGAAATTATATATTAAGTTAATAATAATTTCTTTAATTTATTTCACATCATATTTTCTAACAAAGTAAGCATATTTTGCACAGCAGAGAAAACTAAGTTTAAAATTGAAGTCCAAATTTAATTTATCAGTAATTAACCCTTTAGATAAGAAATTTTACTAATGGCAAAAAATCTTACTTGTAGATATTTTGAAAGATCAGGATTAAAGAAAAACCAAGAAGAAAAAAGACAAAATGAGTCAATGAAAAAATGAGACAAATGACAAAGAAAAACACACAAAATGAGTGGAATATTATAGGAGATATTATTATGAGAAAAGTTAAACTTTTTTTGAATAAGTAATTTAAAAAATTATCATTTTTGTTAAAAATTCGAAAATTATTTACAATTTTCCTTACTAATCAATTCTGGCTTTCTGTTTTTTAATTAAACAAGGAGTAAATGAAGAAAAAGTGCACACTAACCAATAAAACTGATTTATAAAACAAACAAATTTCATATTCTACCTCTGCTACTACAGCTAATAAAATTTTTTTTATGAGAAAACAAATAGATTCATTGGTAAAAGCTTAGATTATGATCTTTCAAAATGATATAAAACTTTTGGATTAAAAAATTTCTCAGAACAGCTGGAGAGACATTCTACACCTATAGCCCCTACATAAAAACAGAACATTAATACAGTGGGTGAAAATTATGGTTTCAAAGAATATAGCACAATTCCATAGAGTCTGCACAGTAGTGGTATAAACATGGATGTTTTTGATATTAAGCATAACCTTGTTAAGGTTGACAAAAACCTTGAATAAAACAATGAATGATATTTCATACTGATAGTATAAACAAATTAATTTATAAAAAATTAACTTTCATACTCTTTTTCACTTTATTTTCCAATTCAGGGTCAGATGATGATGACGTTGATGCAGTAGTCGACATCCCAGCTGAATGGCTGAGAGGTATATGAAAAGAATCTAAAAGGACACAAGTTCTTAGTCATTTTAATGAAAATAAAAACCAATAAAAGATGTATATAATTTCATTTCATGTTAAACAGGCATATGAACCTATAATTCAAATTTCCCACCTAACATTGTTGTAAAATAAACTTTAAATTTTCTGTTAAAATATTTTCCAATTAAAAGGTTTTTTTTTTTCTTCATTATCAGTAACTTCAAAGAAAAGAAAATGCATTTTTTTAAAAAAAATAGAATATTTATATGAATACTTATTTGAATTGAATTTAAAATTTGTTGAAAAATAAAAAATTTAATTCATAAATAAAGCTTAGGAAGGAAATTGAATATGATATGGAAGGCTACACAAACTTCGATCCTTCCATTCTAAAAATTCCATTTTAACCAATCCATTTTAACAAAACATTCTAAAAATGGAACTCATCAATTTAATCCTAGATAACTAAATATGTGTCAAATAGATTCACAATTATCAGAAATTTTTCAAAATTTGGATATTTATATATTTAATAATTATATTTTAATAAATGTCAAAGAATATTTTGCTCAAGACGAAACTGATTTGTTTGATATAAATAAAGGAAATATAACAATAAGTATTTTTTTAATTATTAGCAATAAATCAAACAGTAAGCTGCAGAGTAAGATTGATTTAAAATTAGTTATCATCACCATAACACTGAGATAAGACATAAGATAGCACAAGACTAAGAGACACATATAAGAATGTAAATGTTAGGTTTTTAATCACTTAACCAGTGATCAGAAGTAGCGCACTAAAAGTAGTGAAACTACTGAAGCCACTNTGATGTTATTTTAAAGGAAGGGAACATATTTTTGATGCATTTAATTTCCTAGAGGAAATAAAGAAGCATTAAACAATTAAATTGCAAATATTTGATGATTTCATATTTCTTAAATTAAATATTTGCTGTCGAAAAAGGTATAAAAAGTTAGGGGTTAAATGAACAAATTGAAAAAAAAAAATTTCGGAATAACAAACTGGCTTATGTAAACATGAATAAATATTTCTTAATTATTCCTTTGTACTTAATCAGTGTTTTCACTACAGCGCGATATCGCGAGAATCTCGCATGTTTTTTTCTTTTCTCTCATTAAAAAATTATTACCGCGAGAAATTCGCGCATTCTATAAATCAATTTCAAAATTAGCTAATTTCTCGCATTTTGGAAAAAGCTTAGAATTACGCCATTTAGAATAAAATCCGTTTTACTTCTCTTCCTGGATCTTTCATTATTTTCAACATCTGCCCCGTTATCTAGCTTCCCTATTTACCAGTATTGTTCAGAACCTTTTCGAACAACAGAACACAACCACGGAACCCCTTTCAGAACACATTTCCCTGCAACCAGTTTACCGTAGGTAAGGTTTCTACAGGTAAGACGTTCAAATTTTTTATGTGCTAATATAAGATGGACAAATACCTTGTAAAGGCAAAATCTTCTATGATGATGCACCAAAAATATTCAATGCTTTAAAAAATAGAATACGTTAAAAATGTATTATAATTAAAGAAATGATTTTTTTTCCAAGAGTTTTGGCATTTTTTTAGTTTTCAGAAATCTCACTTAACTTTGTGAAATCTCACCCTGTTTTTGAGAAAGGGTGAAAAATTCTCACCCATTTTTTTTCTATGATGAAAACACTGTTAATGTAAGCTAATTTCTTATTCAAAACCATTTTGAATATAGGTGTAATTGTAAATTAAGTTCTCCAGCAAAGTTCATATCTTTAAAGTACTGAAGTAGTTACTACAATTCCTAAGCAGTTTATAGTCAATATATTTCTAAAAAAAGTAGCTATAGTTAACTAGACTTGTAGTAAAGTATCCAATCAGTGCAGCTAACTATAATTTAATAAGTGTTTAAGAACATTTTGCTTAAGATGTACTAATTTTTTTGATATAAATAAAGAAAATATAACAATAAATATGTTTGTACAGATTTAAAATAAGTTATCAATGGTTAATAATGAAAAATACAAATAATTTATGTTTTGATACAATGAAAAGTAATTTACCTACTTAATAAAATAAAACATGCAAAGAATTTTAAAACAAATTTGAAGTAAATATGTAATGAATAAGCAAAATATTTGTATCGATTAATTTTAAAACTTACAAAATGAATAAAATTGAAACAATCAGTATGATTAAGAACTTTGAGAGACTGATTTGGTTAGTAATTAATAATTTCTATGAATTTGGGATTTTACTTAAAATAATTCCAATTAGTTTTTTATAGTCACTTTCACACAAAAGCTTTTAATAAACTGAAATAATTAATGAAAAATGTTTCAAGCTCATAGATTATAAGATAATTTAGTAAAAAATTGATGAGTAAATATATTTACTATAGAAATAATACCCTTGGTAAGAACGTGAAATATTATAAATTAAAATTTTTTGTCATTTTAATATGGCAATTTCAGGTTGTTTTTTTACATAAAAAAAACATCTAGTAATAATAACAAATATAAGAAAATATTTCAGAAAGAACTTTTTAAAACTATTTCTGAGAAAGATAAATAGACTAGCTCTAATCAAAGATTGAAATCAGTTAGGAATTTTGAGCTGCAATTATCTGATTATTCTAGATTAAATTCAATGTTGTAGTTTGCATAACTAGATGAAATCAAGATAGAAATATCCCGTTTCTAAGTTTTCTTATAAAAAAAAATTTTTTTTTTCTTCACTTTCTAAATTTTATTTTCAATAATAAAAAAGGTATGAAATACATACAGTGGGTAATATATTAATTAACCCATAAACACATATACTTGTTCATTTTTTTAGCTAGATCGCGTAAACCTTATTTTCAGAGTGTTTTTTTTATCTGATGAACGAAAAATATACAAATTTTTTGGAGCATTCCTTATAACATAAGTAAGATAATAAGAATTCAGAGATAGTTTCAAATTCTGTTCCTGTCTTTGAGTAACTGAAGATATTGTTTGATAATTTAAAGGAAAATAAATGTACTTTAATAAAAAATAAATCAATTTAAAGAGGATAAGAAATAACAAACCCATCATTGTTCCAAATTTTTTAAATATACAGGCTAATGAATTGCATTGATTTTAATTAAATGCACATTTTATTGGGGTAATTTACATATAACAACTGAAGTATGGAAATATAAACACTGGTCACACTTCCGCTCGCTTTCTCAGAAAGGTTCTGAATGTCTGTTTCTGCACTATTCATGCTACAATCTTAACAGCTCAATTGCTTTTAAATTGTTAAATTTAAAAAAAAAAGAGAATAGTTTTATTCATTATAAAACATATGTTATTATGGATAATCAAAACAAAATTTAGTTATACAATGTTTTATCAGCGAGATCATTATTCTTTTTCGCAATAACATCCCGATTTGAAAGTTAAACTTGACTAAAATGTTTTGAAAATGAAATCCCCATCAAGCGTTATGTTTTAGTAAGTTCTCATTTTAGTTTCAGTTTCTTAAAGTTGTCATTAGCCAACATTAACATTTCTTTATAAAAAATAAAACTGCCGGTGCACGTGTTCCCCATCTGCGTAAAATGTGACACTCCGCATCCACAACCCAATCACCCCCGAGATATGATAATACTGTGGTTCTAATGGAAAATAGTGACGTCCATCAATGTGAAAACATGGCAGAGGCAGCAGTCGAAACTCCGGCTGCTCGGTTTTTCTGTCATAGCTGCTTCTTAGAAGTTAATCCTATTTTGCCAGTAAGTATCAGAAGTCCTTTGTTTTTATATTTCCGAACTTTAAGATTTAAAAAATTTAAATTATAAGCGTTTGTTGATTATTGTTTACATTGTTAAGCCTAGTGATGCTATTAGATTTTTACCAATAATGAGATCAGGTGATATGTAAACAAATCTATTTAAATGTTATCTAATGCTGTTAATGAGGGCTGTATAAAAGGATGTGTCCTATTCCTCGTACCTTCTTTATAAGGTTTTTTTTTTTTATAACGTTAGTTTGTATCGCTTCCGTTGTGTCATCGACTATTCTAGAAATCTTTCATCGATCACCATAAAAGCATATACTCTGTAGCAAATTGATTTCTTTTATCAAATAAGTTATGTGCATTGTTATATTAATTTTTGTTTTATTAACCATCAGTTCGTTCCCTAATTTATAATATGAGCATCTTAGCGTATTTTAAAGTGCTTATAACTTTATTTTTTGTGATATTTTTTATTTATTCAAATGTGTTAAGAATTTTGTAAAAATCTTATTTCTTTCTGTCTGATATCATTAAGTATGCTTCTTAGATATCTTGTGTTGTTATTTTGTGAGATTAATGTCATGAATTACTTAGATGTTGCAGTTGCTTATTTAAATTGAAGACATCATAAGTAGCATTCACATTTAGCATTATGATAATTTATGAGAATCATCTCAATATAATTTTTAAAAGTACTTAATTTTATAATTGGATAGTAATATCCTTTATGATTTTAATAACTATCCTAAATTTTTTTTGTAATACAGCATTTTTTAACACTATTATGTTAAACAGTGTGATTCATTTTTGTTAAAACCTGTTTTATTCATTTTTGTCAAAATAGCAAAATATGTAAGTTTTTAGGTCAACACCAAATTCTTTATTATACTCTTAGTTTAATTTAATGAATGCAAAAAGCTAAGTTTCATCTTAATAAGTAGTTAAAAATGATCCCTAATGTAATTCTATGGTAAACAAACTTTCATGTAGGTATTTTGATATAATTGGGAAATAAACTTTTATAATGCAATTAAATTTCTTCTGATTATGATTGAGTTATTTCGTTTATAATTATCAAATTAGAGAAACAATACACATAAGCTATAATACATATAAACTATGAATATTTTGGTATTTTCTTATGTATTTAAAATATTTGTAGTGGTTTACCACAGTTTTTGCTTTTGATTCTTTGTGATACGTAAAATAATAATAGGACAAAGAAATTATTCGACCATTAGAATAAATAGAGTTTATCTTTTAGAAGAAGAATTTAGTTTTGTGCATCAGTTCATCACTATAATGCACTGAGATTTCTTAAAACTGGGCAATATTCTAAGAATGTGCGGTGTTATACCTGCTTAATCAAATTTGAAAGTGATTTAATAAAATTTTATTCTTGAAATATCAAAGATCATATACCATTCTTTTACTAGTAAATGTCTTTGTCCACCATGTATAAAATGTTAATAAATTGTTTTTAATGCCAGATCAGATTTTTTAAAAATATTTATTCTGGAATTGACTTAATAGGAAAATTTTTTGTATAGATACATGCTCTAAAATAGGTGAAAGAAATGTGGCATATAAAGTATTAAATTGAGAAAAATAAATAATAAACGCAAATATGAATTCTAAAATTTTGTAGCCACACCAAATCGACCCTCTATATTTTTTACCATTTAATTATTAATCTAAATATAAGTTCAGAATTATAAGTTAGAATAAAAATTTAATGTTACGGATTACCTTAAACATTTTCATGAATCTGCTTACACATGTCGTAGTTTTTTCTTTTTAAAGTCATTTTATATAAGTTATTTACATTGGTATAAATTGATTTCATAGAATGTTTTACACCAATTGTCGCCTGAGGTAAATTTAGGTTGTCTCAAACAGTTGTCACTTCAACTTTTGTGTAATATTTCAATCATATAAATTTAAATTTTAGATACAACATAAGGGAAACGAAGAGATTAAACTGATTTAAACTACCAAGTGAAATTTAAAATGTTTAATCTAGAAAAAGGAAGATTAACATTTTTAAGTTGATTAGTAAAAGGTAATTCAGGCTAAACTAATGGTCAACATTAGATTTACTAAGTTTATTAACTTTTAAAAATCTAGATTACATAATTTTGACAATCTAAGGGCAGGGGTCTGTCTAGGTTTTTCCGAGAGGTACCTATTTTGTGAAAATTTAGACATAATTTGTGAAAAATTATATTTAAAAATCCAACACAAGAATATGGATTTATCATTTCTTAAGGAATACAAAAATAAAATTTTAAGAACACATATTTTGTGAAACTACCATTTTTCCTAAAATTAAATTTGTGAAATTATCGTTTTTCCTAAAGTTGAATTTGTGAAGGTACCGCTAAACGGTAGTAAATTCGGTCTGGACAGACCCCTGAAGGTTTGCACACATAGACAAAAAAACCACAATTTTTTTATTTTTTTTTTTGGTTGGTTCAATTTAGAAATGTAATGATTTGTAAAAAAAGAACGAAAGCCTGTGAAAGGAACTCTAGCCCTGATGGAATGTTATAAAATCCGGAATCTCAATTTTATGGCACTTTAATTTTTAGAGTGTTAAAATTGTATAATTTCAGAATTGTTGTCAGTTGTTTATTTTTAGTTTTGTAACTGATAAGAGTTGAGAAAATCCTGTATGCACAGTAACTCTGTATTAAAACTGTGCTTTGAACATTGTGATTGATGATTGATATCGTGATTCATGTGCTTTGAACATTGTTTTGTGCATTCTTTTTTCAATAGTGCTTGAATTTCCAAATTAAAATTCTGCTTGTGTCTGTTTTATTTTGGTCTCCTGCCTTTCCAATTCCAAGAAACAAAAATGTTGACAGACTTTTTCTTTAATGAATTTTAAAAAAAATTTGAAAAGAAGAAAATGTGAATAAAATGGCTAATAATCGATAGTAAAATTTATAATTTATATTAAAAAATTATTTATCTTTTTTAAACATAATTCGGATTATCTGTGAATTCACTTATTCGCGCTGCATGGGCCCACTCAATTCCGCAGATATTCTGTAGTTTACTCTATGAATGCGGGCTGGCATGCTTGTAAGTATTAAAGTTTTTTCCGATCGAAAAAACCACCTGAGGAGAAACAAGAACAGCATGCATGTATGTATGCATCAGAGTTTATTTCCACAGTGGAAAAAACTATGGGAAAAAACAGGTTTCTTCCAACTTTGTTTTAAAAGGAACTATACATGATTTAAAACAGTTTAAATATTTAATATTGCAATCTAGATTTTTTAAAAATTGTTTAATTTTAAGCTATTTTGTACCAAGCTATTTGATATATCATCTTTAAATATTTCAATTTAAAAAAAAAGAAAGAAGAATTGGAAGGAAATGAAACAAATATGTATAAGGAATTTCATAAGAGATTAAAATTATTGCAGTCCTTTAATGTTATCTGTAAATGAATATAGCAAAACCTTATTATATAGTTAAAACTGTTAAAATAACAATTAAATATTATAATGCAACTTAAATAACAAACCACATACTAAACTTAGCAGCTACACTATTAGTGCTATAATATATTTGTTTCTTTATACCTATTTATTTTCTTTTCAATACCTACTTATTGCAATTATATTGATCATTTTCTTTTTTTTTCTTCCATTTCATCCAGTTTCTTCTATTTTGTTTAGACTATTCCTTTTTTTTCCGTCAAGTTTATTAAAATTTTCTGGAAGAAATAGGTTTTTTCTTGACAAAATGCTAAGGAACTGTAGAAGAAATCTACCCGTTACACAGCGCATATAACTGGCTAGAGCTATTTTTTAGAGCTATTTTCTACAAGTGTATTTCAGGCATTTAAAATTGGAAATAGTCCTTAAAAAGTTAGTCAGGTGTACTTCCACGCTTTATATTTAAAAAAAAATTTCCACTACACTCAAAGCCAACTATAATAGTAATACTTACTTAGTATGAAATCTGATTTTAATCTTAAATAAAATAACTATAAAAGAAATTAACTGATGAACAGTTAAGAATAATAATTTGAATATAACCTTGTTAATTTATTTAACAAAATATAAATAATTTTAATAAATAAGAAATTTTTTAAAATTATTTATTCTATCTTTTATACAAAAAATATCAAATATGCTAAAAAAAACTTTTAAATCTCTCTGTAATTTAAAGTATTAATTTAGTTAACAGAATAGTTTTTACTCTTTAGAAGTTAATTTCACTCTTCCAAAAGTATTTTCACTCTATGAAGAAAAATCACAGCCATATCTCTGTAACTAACTATTGAAATTGAATCTTTGAATTGCTGTTGATTTCTAAATTATTTGTTATAGGATTTCACATGTCCTCGTTGCCAGACTGGATTTATAGAAGAATTAGCCCAAGCTCCAGATCCTAGGTAAATATAGATTAGTTATTTATCAAATTAATAACAGTTCATATTTTTAAGAGTATTTTGAAGTAAGTGCTATATTTTTTTATAGTGAAGAATCAGATGAAGAAGCCTACTTACCTTTTTCTCAAGATGGTTCAGATACGAATGATGAAGCTGATGCTTTATCACAGGTTGCTGATGTGAGTATCTAAATTTTTTATTTCTATTATGTGTTGTTCTAATAAATTATTTTTCATTATTCAAAATTGCTATTATATAATTTGTTTGTATTTAACGGTTGAATGTTCGTTTTCTTTTTGTAACCAAATTATGGCTATTTGAATTCTATTGCTGCTGCAGACTCAGTTCTCGTATTCTTTCTGTGAGCAGAAGAATCATGCCATTATAAAATCTTAATAGTAGCTCTGAATTTAATGACTATTTGAAATATGAATATATACATGCAGTTTTACTACTTCATGATTTGTTACTGTTTTCATCAGGGTTCGCCAAGTGGGCCCACTTTGAAAAAACCCGCCCGGGTTTTATTGGGTGGGCNTACTGTTTTCATCAGAGTCAATTTATTTTATTTGTCTAAATTATAAATTTTTGAATCTTAAATTTTTATAATAGTTTTTATTAAACGATTCAGAATTTTTGTAGTGATTATTGTAAAGCAGTATTAGAGTGCCAATATTAATAATACTACTGAACATATACATCTGAAAATTGAAATTAAGTTATAAATTTTTCTCATAGAATGAAAACAGTTAATTATGGTTTAAATAGTTTTCTTTACCTGCAAAGTCTAACCAATTCAAAATATTATAAATAAAATTTCTTCTTTTACTTATTTATTATTTTTGCCAGCAATTTTTTTAAAACCTTCTTATTTAACAATTTATGTGTCTGACTTTAAAAAAATTTCATAAGACCACAAAATTGACTGATGAGGGTTAGTTTTTTAATGATTGTTTTAGTTTAAACTGTAGAATAAAAGTTATGATTTATACTTATTGTATATTGGTGTAATAAAGTTCAAAAACCTTTTATCTCAGTGATGTGAGGTTTTAGTAGTTGCAAGAAATATGTTGAGCCTTGTATAATTAAAAATAAAATAAGACTAGTTTAACTTGAATAAAAAATTCTTGGAATTGTTTTTCATTTACTATAATAATTTATATATTTTGAATTAAAATGTCACAAATACATTAAGATTTTAAAAAGAATCCTTGTACAGTAAAATGTCAATCAATTGTTTTTACACTGGTTAATTGTTCCTAATGGTAGATGTTAAAAAAAATAAAAAAAAGTTCTGTATGTGCAAATTATCTCTTGAAAATAAAAGCAGCAGTCTTAAATTTACAATAAATATGCATAGAAAATTTAGTGGGGTAAAAATTCGGCATATAAGAATACTTGTTTAAAATATTGGGAGATTTTGATCTGTACAACTTTATTTTCTAAAGCAAACAATAAATTTGTAATATTTCCAAAATCATTTCTTTTCTCTTTTTATAAAGAATTTCTTCAAATGAATGTATTGTAATTGTCTTGGTCAACTTTATTAGCTTCATCCTTCATATCTTAAGATTTATTAATTAATTTATTTTTTGCCTTATCACAACAATAAATTGGGTGGAATATTTTTGAGAGAGAAACAATGCAATAAAATTTTCTCATAAAACATGAATCTTAATATAGTCATTTCCTTCATTGGTAAAGTTAGTGCCTTCCCTAACTAAATCAAGTAATAAAACCTAACTAACTAACGAATGAATCTGGCATGAACCCTGCTTAATAATGTAACATTTTAAGTTAATGTTTTAAAAAATCATATATCACACTGTTACATGATATACTGTTGTTGCCAATTCTTAGTGATTTAGCACCAACTGGGTTGGGGTTTTGGATGTCCTATATTCGGATAGGGCACACGGGATTTACTGTCTTAAAGTGTCCAAAACCTTGAACATTAGTAAAAGGTGAAAATTCCCTATGTCGAACCTTTGTAAACATAATTGCATATATCAATAAATATTTGATACTTTTTTATATAATTTGCTTTAACTTATTAAAGAAAAATATTATAATATGATATAATATAGAAAAAGATTTACAACTTTTGAAGCTGAGCAATGAAAGGGAATACCTTATCCTTTAAATATGAATAAATATGCTTTTAATGCTGATAAATTATGTTTTCTCATAAGAATAAATAATGCAATATTAAAAACTAGGAGGCTTCGTCCCCTGCTCGCTATCGCTCGCCAGCTCCCGGAACTGCTTTCGCAGTTCATTTCGTTCAATGTTCGCTTTGCTCTCTCATTGGATACGTTCTTAACGTATAGCTTTTGTATACTTTTTTTAATACTGAAGTTGCGAAAACTTTTCACTGTCGAAAATTCTAAACCTGCACATTTCAATATTAATTTGAAATTGCAAACAGTTCACATATTTTGCTTAATCACACTATTCTAAATTTCAGTTGTTGAGAAAAGTAACTGTTGTAAGTTTTGTTTTAAAGTCTCCCACCATAGGGCTAAAGCCATGTCTTGCAGTGTTTTCACTACAGCGCGAGAACGCGAGAATCTCGCATATTTTTTTATATTCTCGCATTAAAAAATGATTACCGCGAGAAATTCGCGCATTCTATAAACCTATTTCAAAATTCGAGAATTTCTCGCATTTTGAAAAAAATTTCTCATTTGCGCCATTTAGAATAAAATCCGTTTCACTTTTCTTCCTGGATCTTTTATTATTTTCAACATCTGCCCCATTATCTAGCTTCCCTATTTACCAGTATTGTTCAGAACCTTTAAGAACAACAGAACACCATCCTTCCGAACCACGGAACCTCTTTCAGAACGCATTTCTCTGCAACCACGTGTTTACCGTAGGTAAGGTTTCTCTTAAATAAAATCTTGAT